GGGTCGGTGGCGAGGGCTGCCCAGGAGGTGGCAATCGGGAGCCTCTTACGGGACTGGAGCAAAGGTGGAAGGGAGGCTCCCAGGAAAAAGGTGGCTGCCTTTAAGGTGGGTTTATTTGCCTGCCAGATGGGAAGTCTGTGACCAGCCCCTTTAAAACAGGTAAAGGCAGTAAGGCTTCTCCACCCCTTGCCTTGATCTTTCATCATAACTGTGGGCCAGGCAGAGAGGTTGTGCAATGTGTGCGCTCCAGTCAGGAGGCTGCAGGAGAAGTTCATGCACTGCGAGCAGGAGCCAAGGCTTGGAGGCCTGAGCCAGGAGAGCAGGCAGGGGCTGGGAGTTAGCCCCCCTCTCCAGCCAGCATGGAGCTGAGGACCTGGAGCAGCAGGATCGATCTCTCCCTTGGGCTCCTTCTCTTCTGGGCTCTCCTTCCTTCTGAGGTGCCTGGGAAAGAAGGTAAGTGTGGGACCCGCTGGTCCTTCTGCTTGGAGAGTTGGTCGTGGGTGGGCAGGCAGAGAGAGACCTCTCTAAGGGGCAGGGAACAGGGCCTGACCAACATGCATGGGGTCCCAGGTACACCACAGCCTGCCTGGAGGGAACTGGAGAGGGACTGGGGTGTCTGGTGAGGGCAGGTGGGTCTGGGGGTCGAAGGCCAGGAGCAAACCCCATCCAACTCTTGGTGGCTCAGTAAGCTGGAGCCCGGGTATGCTGCCCCCCTCCCTCTTCACCCCCTCCCAGCTGAAGCACAAACACCTCTGTATATCCAGTGATCCAAGAGAATTTTGCCTCTGTTTGCCTTAAACACAAGCGTTGCAGATAACAAGTTTAAACACAAACTCAGAAAGCTTCTCCCCCCTGCCAACACCCCCGCAGTTTTCTCAGGAAGCCCTTTTGGGAGTTAACCCTTGTGAGCAAGAGGCCAGTCATTTTTGTGGAGGCTTGGAAGGTGAAACAGTCTCTTTCACGTACCCCAGTGCTGGAAGGTAGAGCTGGGCTTCACAATTACCTCTTCCACCTCTTTTCTTAAGACTCCCTTTCTTCCTTTCTCTGTTCCACTTAGTCCCTTTTATTAGATGTAGCTATCTTTTTTCTTTCATCTTGGCAGTTACACAGTGGTTATGAAACATCTGGGGAATGGGAATTTTCTCTGTTTTGTTCCCTACCTCCTCCTGCAGTTAATTCGTGCCAGAGACTTCTAGTCGCTGTTTTGCACAGCGAGAGGTGTTGGGGCTTTTCCGTCCCAAGGACAAGCCTCTCCTTTGCTGCTGTAGGGTCTCGATCGAGACGACTTAGTCAGAACTGGCAGTTCAGCCATTGGCTCATCTCAGACTCCACGAGTGCAGAGCACTTTTTTAAAGCGTTCTTGACAGGCATGTTTGTATTAAGGATCCAGCTACATCGATGCAGCTAGCAGACATTGTGGAGAAGGCCACCCTAGGTGAGAAGTAATATAAGGTAGCACAACGCAAGCTCAGGTTTCCCTGTGTGTGTGACCAGTAGTTGGCAGTAACACTCTGGGACTTCTCTGCCAGCTTCTCCCCTATCTCAACCATCTCATTCGGGCTGTGTCTGTGATCCACTCTCCCTTAACATGTCTATCTGGGAACAGATAATTTCCCTAGCGTCCTCTCTTCTCTGAAGTATTTCTTCTTTTTTGGGACACCTCCTCCCATGTGGCCAGACAGCCACCTGATTCCTAGCAGTGAGGCTGTGGACCACAGAGCTAGTAGCCCCAGAGTACTCATATTCCTAGTGCTCTTGTAGTCTTGCTGACTCATTCTTCCTTTCTTCGGAGAATCCCTGTTGTGGGTTTCACTGTGAGAGGTACTTCTTTCGAATGGACTTTGTCACCTCCAGTGGGCACTTGGCAGCTGAAGGAGCCACCGCTGGCAGTGCATGGCACACGGGCTGTACCAGGTTCCCATCTAAGCCGCTTCTCAGTTCCTTTTCCCTTGCTCTGCTAGAACTTGCCATGCAGCCCCTCTCACTTCCACATCACTGCTTCAGGCCTGAAGTGCGTGGGATAGATATTATCTGGGTGACGGTTCTGGAAGGACAGGCTACATCAACCTGAGAGTTTTTGGAGCCAACAAAACAAGAATAGTATTTCAAATTGAGAGATTGAGAGCAGAAGGGAAGTGAGTGAGGAGCCTTGTCTGGACAGGGAGTCTGCGGCTAGGAAGGTTTTTGCCATATGACCATGCTGTGAATGCCGTGAACTTGCAAAACCTGGAATCCTGCTTTTCCCTTCTCCTGATCCTGAAAGGGTGTTTCAGAGGTGAGAACAGCAGTGCAATCCCTCTTATCTCTGATTCCGGGCCCACAGCCTGCTTCCTCATTCCACAGGACTCTTGCTGATCTGCACTTTACACTCTTACTTGTAGCTGGCAAGCAGTACTTGTAAAGCAGTCAGATGAGGGGGAGGAAATCTGGTTATTTAAATGCTATTTAAATATTTTCCCCCTCCTACCTTTCACCCCCAAATTCTTTTCTGAGCTGTTTAGAAGTGACCCCTCTGAATACACACACAGGAATCTAAAACAGAATCCAAGGAATTTTGCCTGTTTCCTATGTTCCCAAGCTAGGGCTGCAATAGGTGCACCAAAACCATTAGTCTGTACTGGCAGCACTGGCAGACCCAATGGCAGGCACAAAGCTGTACATCCAGCAGTATGACTTATTCCTACTCCTATCCCTTCTCCCTGTTTGACTATGAAGTGCCACATTTTTAGTTTATCTCCAGATCAGGACTTAAGGGCAAACTCTGATCACATTTTCAAATTTCTTTGAAGGCTAACAATGAACATACTGCTGAATTTCTCCTTTGTCACATGACTCCAGGAGCCAAGGCTTAACGACACAGCCATGCAGTGCAATTCTGCAAGAGGTGGCAATCCTTTGTCTGACAGCTGTTATTCTCTTGCTGTCATGGCTAAAATAGCTGTGGGGGGAGAGAGTGAAAGGATTTAGACTAGATATTAGGAAAAACTTCTTTATGGAGAGAGTGGTCAAGCATTGGAACAGGCTGCCCAGGGAGGTAGTAGAGTCACCATCACTGGAAGTGTTCAAAAAAACGTGTAGACATGGCACTTCAGGATATGGTTTAGTGGGCTTGGTGGTCTTGGGTTGATGGTTGGACTTGATGATCTTAAAGGTCTTTTCCAATGATTCTATGATTTTGTGATTTCTAGGCCACCATCAGCTGGTGGACAGCCTGGGTCAGAGGCAGAGGGTTCATCTCATGATGCATCTCATGGCTCTTGGGTACTGTGACAGTGGAAAGTCCCTTCTACAACTTCACACTGCCTCTGTACTTTCCCTGAGTGTTTCAAGCACTGAATAGTACCTCTAGGCAGCACTGACTGATCTGTTGTGTTGGTAATTTATTTGGTTGCCTACCTCTTCATCCATTTTGTCTGCTGCCTGCCTATTCCAAGGAAAGATGTGTTCAGCTGCTAATGCTGGGTTCCCATTTCAGTAGGCTTCAGCTTCCTGCTTGCATTTTGGGGCAGCTTTCGGAAGCAGAAATATTTGTCACGGTTGCATTTTTTGGATGTGTGTGGGTATTACTTGAGAGAGGGTGGAATGGGAGGGGGGTATCATATATGAGGAAAATATTTTAACTCCTGACTAGCTGCACTGTCTTGTATCTTCCCATATTTCCTCTAGCCATGCTTTTTGAAGGTAAAACGTCACAAAGGATGTAGGGCTGAGAGGGGAAGTGCAGGCTTTGCCTTCTGTGACAAAAGGAGGATGAAACCAGTCCACAGGCCATATGAGTTGGGTCACTGATTTTCTTTTTCCCCTTCTGGTGTTCAGTGGATCTACTCGACACAAGCACTGCGCAGGGTGAACTGGGCTGGCTTCCAGACCCTCCAGAAGTAGGGGTGAGTACACATGTTCAAGGAAGGGGAGTCACTGGGAGTACTATATGATGGAAAAGCATAATCCAACTTGAAATTTCACCCTGCCTCCCAAAACTGGGCTTCTGCAGTTCCACCTTCTTCTGGGCATTGCATGTTTTGTAAGTGTCTCTCCCTTGCAGCCCCTTCACTGATGCCTCATTGACTTCCAGTAGCTCTGAGTGATTAAACATGTCCTTGAAGTATATTGTTTCCATGAGGTAATAAGACTTAATGGAGAAAAAGGAAAAAATCAAATAATCACCCAGTTTTTCGTCCTAATATATTGCAAATGCATCTTATGTCTCCTTTTCTGGGCAAATAGCCATGGCAGAAGTATTTCTGTCTCCAAGTCTCTTAAGAATTTAGAAACTTTGTCTATTTAAGGTCGTTCTGTCTTTTTTTCTCTTGAGTACTAAACTGAATGATTCAGTTACAAATTTTTTAAATCAGCAGCTGACTGAAGAAATAACTGTTATCTCATGGGGCAGCAATCTGGCCTGTTGGGTGGGCTGCAAGGTTCTAGGATTTTACAACCAGCCCTAATGCTGTGTTTGGCCCACATAGCTTTGTTTCATGACTATAAAATTGAGTTGATGGAAGTGCTTCAAAATTTACTCCTGAAACTACTGCAAAACTGGACCCAAAAAGACAGCTGAGCTCTCAGCTATTTTTGTACAAGTACAGCTATTTTGCATCAAGTACAGTTGAGCAATCTCTCTAGCATCACAACCTACGTTATTGAAGATGGTTTCCTTTATAACAGCAGGACTGGGGGAGAAGTGGAAGGAAGGCACAAAGAAAAGGGAATTCAGAGACTACACTGCAGTAGTTAAAAGAACGTATCTTAATACATAGTTCCAGTTCCTCATCCATGCTCTTATCTTTCTAGGAAGCCCCAAGCTCTCCTGTGGAGAAAGTCTTTACCCTTGCTGCTTATAAAGTAGACCTGGGTTCAGCCTGTTCCTAACTCACTTTCATAACTGTCCTCTGTAACGCGCTGTGGCTGGTTTAAATTCACCCCAGCCTCCTACTCCTGGTAGTCTTGCTGGGTGAACTGGAGCCAAACAGTTCTCCTGTACTGCCATGATTGCATTTGTTTCATTAATACAGCTGTTTTGGTTATTATTATTATTATTATTGTTACACCCTACTCAAAACAGGTGCCCTAGTGAGACATACATGTAGATCATGTTTTGCTCATTGTTCCCTTTTTTGTCCCCATCAACTGCCTGTGTGGTAATTTTAACCCAATACTAGGATGCAGGCATGTATCTTCAAATCTTCAAATCTTGAAGATTGGATTGGAAAGAAACACTGAAAAGTGCATTCTAAAAGTAATCTGTAGAAAGAAGACAAAACCTTTGTTACAGAACATCTGATTTTTGTACAGTAAGTTCACAGCAGTGCTAGAAGTTGGCATACACTTCTGTTTGTGCTACATCTGCTTTTTAAAGTATGTATATTTAAAATACAGTAATTGTAACTGGGAATTGTAGAAGATGTTGGAAAAAATGGCCTGAGAGCAATCTAAACTGATAGATCAGGGTACTGATGACTAATAAACTAAAAGAGGATGAAGAATAGATTCATTGACTTCTGATGAGCAGCTCTTTTGCAGGGATTTGTCTAATTACATCATTTCCCAATAACTGTTAGGTGGAATGCTGACAAATTGCCACAAGCAAAAAGGGAACAATGAGTGATTCTCATAGAATCAGAGCTTTGAACAACTGTTTCTGAAACCATTCTTCTAAAATGAGGAAGTAGATACGTTTGAAAAAGAACTGAGATTAATTCAGAACAGTTTTTGACACAAAAGAGCGAAGATTAATACTGAATAGTCTGACTAGCTTGGTTAGTAACAGGCTGGAAACATCTGAGCTGTATTGCATACAGAGTTGAAAGGTATATTTCATGTAACACTGCTACTTGTACCTAGCCTCAGATGCCAGAGATCTCCCATCTGTGAGCTGGTTTTGTGTCAATGTGCTTATCACACAGAGGAGGAATTTGCTGTGAGGAATTTTCATGCTTTATATGGACAAGGTCTCCAAGGCATAGCTCAGAAGAGGTTCGATAATTCTGTGGAGGCAGAATTACGCCTTTGTTTTCTCCTCACTTTTAGCCACTGACAATGGATGAGGGGGCTTGCCATGTGTGGTTGTTTCATGGCCAGACTTGGTCTGTATCCAGTACAGACAATGCTTCTGTTAACACATGCTCACCCTAAGAACACTGAGCTGTATACCAGGCCATTCTGGACAGCATGGGCCATTTTTCTGTACTTGTAGAATACATTAACTGGCAGTGAAATCTTGCCTAAGCTTAAAGGTAGTCTTTAAGTGAAAGTGTTTGTACTTTAAGTACAGTGTCTGTAGAAGGTTGTTTGCCAAAATGTTTGCACTAGCTTGCTTTGTAATAGCTGTTTAGAAAGGGTTTCATTCATTTTAGGCTACTATTGGAAACTAGACCCTTACAAAGGCAGATTGTAATTCCTATAATCGCCTTCTTATCATCCTTACCACCCCCCCATCATCTAACAAATTCCTTGATAAACTTTTTATCTCTGAACTTTTAAGATAGTGATACCAGTTGGGCATGGGCACATGTGTTCAAGTACTAGTAGTAGATTCCTGTCTTTCAACATACATTACAGAGCTAATGATGATCAATTTGAAGGTGAGGAGTCCAGAATTTACTTGCACTGACATTTCCTTAAGGCTCCCCATGTTGCAAAAACAGCCTGGCTACTTGAACTGATTTCAAAAATCACTGAAACTGTTCAAAAAGGCCTTCTCACATCTTACCATGAACAATTTCAGTTACTGGGCATGGTACTATTGCTTCCTGTCAGCTTGTAAAATAACAGTATAAAAAGTTATTTATCTCTATTTTGCTTTCATGCAAATTGCATCAGCTTTGAACAGATGGTGATGAGGAGTCATGTTATTTTCTTGCATTTTGCTTTTAATAGGCAAGGCCCTGAGCAACCCAACCTGGCTTTCAAGTTAGCCTTGCTATAAGCAGGGGATTGGAGTAGAGACTGAAAGGTCCCTTCTCACCTAAATCTTTCTGTGTTTATGTGATAGTTTTGTGATGTTTGTTCATTAGCATTCTGAGCTTGTATTTTTAGCCCAGGTAGAAAAGGCCCTCACAGTTTTACCTGATTTAATGTTTTGAGCTCTGTAATATCTGTTCCTATGGATTTTCTGTATCCGTTTATGTAGGCCTATGATACAATGTATTGAGCAATCCAGTATTTGTCTTTAGTTGCTATGATTATTTCACGCCCAGCTTGTAGGCCTATCTTGAAGTTTTCCTTTTGTCCACTACTTCCAATTTCTTTTTTGTGTGTGTGAATAGTATTTGCATAATCCAGTCATACTTTCATGAGTATATATGACTACTTAAATTGCTAGCCATTTATACTGTAGGATGCTGCATTCTGGGCCGCTCAATATGACTTTCTGTCTCTATGCTGTTAAATCGATTGTAAATTAAACACAATTTAATCTTTTTTAGCAGGTGTGTTTTCTTGGGAGGCATGCTTTCACCAGTTCTACAGCTGTCTGCTTGTAAAAGAGTCCTTTTTCACAGTAACTTTGTTTTTAAATTGGATATCTGTTATTTCAGAAATCACACGAACTCTGCTGCTGCCACTAATTTCCAAATTGTGTCATATTTATTACATACTAAAGGTTCAGCAATGCTCAGTTCTCAACTGGTAGATGGTTTATGGAACTTATTTTTCTCAAATGATATACCTGCATGGATTATAGTATTATTAATGTTTTCAGGTGATTTTCTTAGCATCCTTTCTAGGCTGCCATTGTTCTCAGTCTCCTATGCGTGGTGAGGTGGATGATATATTTTTTTCTGCCTATTCCATACTCTTGCTTGCTTCCACACATTCTTCAAAGCATTGCTATCAGTTTCAAACTTTCCACCAGGTCTCCCAGTGTGCATGGCACCTGATCTGCTCAACTTTTCCAAAGTCTACCTTCACACAGGACTAAGGATGTGCATTTAATCCCAGTGACCTAATGTATTCCAGAGGCTATTCAAAAATAGCTACTAACTGCAACTATTGTGGCTCCAAAACCACTTGAAAAACTTTGGAAATTATGTAATTCTTGTGCAGTTCTGCACCCCATGTTTCACAGGAGGTCTGATTATGAACATAGCAGCTGCCAAGCTATGTGAATGCAATATGAGTAAGCCAGCGCTGAGATTTTTTTTTTGACACCATTATTTTCCTATTAAATGCCAGACATAGTACAAATCCTACATTACTCAATTTTCTTTAGGTAATAGCCTACATCAAGTACCTGTGATCTGTCAGCAACTCTTGTATCATTGACCTCACAATAATGTTTACATGCCTTCAGGTTCTTGCAAAGAGAGGTAGTGTTCCACCGGACTAAGAGGTCCCAGATATTAATAACAGCTGATGGCTGGTTTCTGCTTCCACTGCTTCTGCTCAGACAGGTAGGCCTGGTCATGAAGGAAATAGTGTTGTGGGCCACACAGCCCTCAACCTGCAATTTATTCCAGCACAGCACTCCTATTTCATTAAAACAGAGCAGTTCACATTTAATCAGACTTCTTGGTATCTTACTTAGATTGTCTTACTTGGAACGAGTTTCAACTAGTCAGCTTTTTGTAACATCTGAAGATGGTGTGAAAAATAACCATCAGAAATGCTGTTGTATGCATCTCTTCCCACAACTGTTGACAATGCATGTCTTTTAAGATCTAACTCAAAGAGGTGTCATCATCTCTGAACCTGGAATCGAGTAGCAGTATATACCTCAGCCTGCTCTCAGTTTAAGTATCAAGCATAGGGGATTAGCTCTTCCAAGCAAACAGGATCTGTATCATCGAAGTAATGGACAAATGCCTAGTAAAGTCAACAACTAACTGGAAATGGGAACAGCTCTGGTTTCAGGATCATATTCTGACATGCCCTGCTGCTGTTGATA